AAAGCAGCCCGTTGCCCTTTTCCTCATTCTATCAGTGCTGTGTGAAGTCGTCAAGTTCGATGTTGGGTGACCATTTTAATGGAACAGAAAAACAATGTAGGTGTTGTTTCAGGGCTGCCAGACCAATGTGAAATTATCCATGGACTAATGCATGATCAGACCAGAGGCACTTGTGTTCAAGTGGATGCAGCCTGTGGTACTGTAGGCTGTAGCCATGGAGACAGCAGCTTTAACCCTGTGTTATGAGACTGCAAGTGGCCAAAGATATACAATTAAGCAACATTTATAAGTGCTCATCTCCCAATTGGCTAAATATTTGTATGTAGGATTAGAGGGATGCATATACATTCATCATTTGAACAACATAATGTATTCATGAAAGGAAATCAGAGCTAAGCAATAGGGGGGAAACACTACAGGGAAAGAAAAGAAGAGTGAAGAAGAAGAAGAATGAAATGCAGTGAGGGAGGCAGAGCAACATTTACTGAGTGTGTCCAACTGCTAGCCTAGTTTGACTGTGTACGGAGAGAAGTGTTTGCAACAGAGGAAGCTCTGCATAGTCCTCAGGTCTGTGGAGATTTGCTTACAGTAAAGTGATGGTGGAGGTAAGATGGCTCAGAGGATTCAGGCTCTGCTGAACGCAGGCTTATGTCTAATAATCAGCAGGGAGGGGCTCAGCGTGGTCCCTCCGAAAAAGAGACAGGGAGAGTGAGATGGAGGGAGACAGAAATACAGAGCAGACGAAAGATTGAAAGGAAAGGAAGAAGCATGTACAAGATATTGTATGAGGTGTGGGATCAAAAAGAGAAAAAGATGAATCCCTGTGACCAAGTGGTTTCTCTCATGTTTCCTTTTATGTTCCTGATCAAAATGGTGTTATGATGTAGCTGCTTTACATATTTGTTAACCCCCTATTAGCTCTTAAAGTCATGTGAAGTGGTGTTAACAAATGAATCTCTGACCTCTAACCAATACCAACTTTCAAGGTCATCTGATGAACGTCTTCAAGTTTGAGTTTTTTAACATTAACATGACATTGTTGAGGCTGTAGTGGTTTTTGCAGGATGCATTTCACAGTCCCATTTATCTCAGGGAGAGATAAAACTCAGCGCTGATGCTTCAGAGATTTTTGCCAGCTGTTCCAGATTACAAAGTACAGTCATTTATGGCGCTTACTGGCATCAACACCAACAGAACATCCTTGTCCATTAACACGAACTGAACACTCACACGTGCCCATAGTTGACACGTAATACATTAGCAGGGATCCAGAGCACAGCCGAGTCATGTTGCTCTCTCTCCTTGGCATTGGCTTGTTAATATCACCACATCCACATTTCTCTTGTCAAAACATGGCCTAAACTGTGTGTGTGTTTGAGTCTTCCAGTGTCTGTTCTCTAACCTATGTGGTGGTCATCATACCCCCAAGGTCAAGATTCTTCCTATCAGCGGTGAATTATCCCTGCAAGCATCTCAGCCAATCCCGGGCCTGAACCTCTTGCCCATTTAACGGGTGTCTAGTGAGGGGGCAGCGCGGTCGAGGTCGGCAAACCGCAGAGCAGAGGCGTCTGCACAGCGACCCGACAGCATTTTAGCAGGGACCCAATGAGTGATTACCTCGGAGCTCCAGTCATAATTCAGCATGACCTCAATCTGCCAGCAGCGCTATGTTTGATGGATCTGCTCACAGTTTGGGTGTCGGGTTCTCGCATGTCAAACACAGGCAGATAATGATAGGGCTATCTGTTGCTCTTACAGAATAAAAACATGCATGATATGAATTTGACACTACATATGTTGGAGGTGTTGCGTCATGCCCTTTCTGTTCAATGTTTTCGCTGTGTTGAGCGGGGAATCGCTCCCTATGTAGATGTCAGTTTAGATACTGAAGACAAAACAATGTCACAAATGGTTAACCCCCTTTATGATGATCCCTGTCGTCTGTTGACATATTCATCATCTCTGTGTCTTATCAATCAAAGTCAGCATAAATACACGTGCACGCACACACGTACACTCGCAGACACACACGTACACCTCCCAGTGTGGATAATTAGTGGATTCCCACAGTGGGGGATTGAGTGTGTTGTGTGTGTAGTGTGCTCTCCTCTTTCTCTGACCTTCCCCAGTGAGCTTCCTAACACAGTGGGGCTCATAACACACAGCGCTAATGCATATTTATCGGCCCGTTGGCAGCTCATATGAGCTGGATTTATGTGTTTCTCCACAAACAATAGTAAGGCCTCAGTCACTCTTCCTCCCTTTCATCAACCAAAGCAGGAGATAAATCTGGTCATGTCAACCTGGCAGCATCCTCCTCAGCAGCGGGCCATCTGTGGGTTCAGACGCACACGGGACCCAGGCTAGTTGCTTTCAAGCCGCTCTCCTCAATTACGGCAAACGGATTTGATATACGTATGTCTGTCAAAATCACTTTGGCAATCACAAGAGCTGCCCTGCTGGAAAACGTTTTCCTACAGCAACTTTCAGATCAAAGGCATTTAGAAAGTGTTCGGCAATGCTGTCGGCATTGGGATTCAGGACAGACTCCTTGCACCATGACTGGCTCTGTTTGCACAGCGCAATCTGAGTTGAGATGTGAAGAGAGGCAATACCACTAAAGAGCAAGGGGAGGGGAAGGGAGGGGAGAGGAGGAGGATAGGGGAGGGATGGCAGGATTAAGCCCCAGCCCCCCCCCCCCCCCCCCCCCTCTTTGCCTCTGAGCGGCCATCTTTCATCTTGCGGCTGCCCCTCTAATGCATTCAAGTGGGTGAAACCCTCAACATCTGCTCCTGCTCCCTGGGAACCGGCACAGGCCAGCGTCCTGCAGAGGCACACAACCATAGGACAGCGGGGCAGCGTCCTGGCAAGACCACATAAAGCTGAGGGGCTCATCCACGCAGAGTTAGGCAGAAACCGAAAAAAAAAAACATTTAAATCGAAAAACGTATTTTGAGACGTGCGGGGAAATCTCTGCTGCCAACAGCTGCCGCAAGCAGACCCAAACTCATTGATCAAATACACAAACTGTGGCTTATACTAGTAAACACACTCACCACAGAAACATTTCACAGTTCACTCACCCAGACACATTAATTCTACTTACTACTTGCGAACAAATAAATGTAAATAGCTCTGTAAATAAACGCTTCATCTTCGCCAAGAAGAAATAAGCCCCCCGCCGCCTCTGATTAAGACTACCAAAGTGATATATCTGGCACTTAAGTCTGCTGTTTACCTCATAAACACAAAGACTTCAACGCAGCCACCCACACTGACGCTGAAATAGCTCAAACTGCGTCTGCGTGCCTGTATATTTCTCTGCTAGTCTTTGTGGCCTCAACATGGAGTGTTCTAATGATCCTTTTTTTTTTAATACGTGATATTTCTAGATCATTTCATATGCTGTGGCTTTTAATATCACGAGTTCAGCGGTGTTCCATGACTCTGGCAGTAAAACGACCATGAGCAATAAAGTAGCATGGTGAAGTGGTATGAGCTGTGTCTCTGACTTCCTTTTTCAGATGCGTAATTCAGCACTAGTGATTTTGAAAACCCCATCAGAAGGACAGAGGAGTGGGGCTGTCAAGACTATAAGGACTCCTTTTTAAAGAGAGGATATCATTCCACCTTTACTCCACTGTCTGTGAGAAGACATTTTTCAAAAAGGAAACGCAATTCAATTATTTTTGGGCTAATTACGTTTGTTATTTGGGATCTGTTCCTTGTGGTGAAAAGTCATTGTACATTTCCTTCACATTGCACTGGGACTCAAATGCAGTTACATTTGTCAGAGAACCCCATGAGACCGAAGATTTGTTCATCTTCATCTCCGAACCCCCTGCACCCCTTTCAAAGCCCACCCACGCACAAACAAGACACTTCACATAATAGATGGTGTGTTGACTCTTTGTGCAACTTTTTTCATTTTCGGTACATTGTAGGCAGGAAACAGTTCTGTTCAGCTTCTTTCATTGTGTGCCACCATCTTGCATTGTATTGCCAGTTGAATGTTCGCAGCTCCGTTCTTTTTGCAAATGTAGGGAGTAGGAGTCTAGTTGTATTTATAGCAACCCGCCCACTAACTAGAATTTAGAGAGCTTTCAGGTAAAAAATGACTTTTAACATGCACACAGCATAACTAATGGTGTGTGTGTGTGTGTGTGTGAACTGCTAAACACCTGGGCTCTGTTAAGTGCCTCGATAAACATTCATCTGTTTGTCATCTTGCAATCTACTTATATATCTAAATAGTTATCACCGCAATAAACCATTTTTAATTCCGTCTTAATGTTCAATATTTAATGTCATATTCTGTTCTTGTATATATCATATTCTATTTACATGTATATAGACTTCTTGCACACTTATATTTCTGTATTTTATTATATATTTTTCATCGTTGGAGGAGCTGACAATAAAACCTTTGAATCTTTTGAATCTTCTGAAGTGTGTAAATACTCTAAGTGTTTTAGGGTCATCCTATTCAAATCACCTTGAAACGCATTAGCTGTGTGCGGGGTTTATAATATTCAAGAAAGCTACAATCTGACTCTTACTGCATTTCATACATGTACAACTACTAATGTTTGGTGAAGTCCATCCTCTATTTGCAACAAAACCTATTGAGCCATAGTGGCAGCATCTGCTCCTGACAAACATACAGGGATTAATATCGAGAGTGCATATAGAGATGGAAGAGGAGAAGATGACAGGCAGAGGACTGATTCCCTCCTCTGTCTGCGAGCTGTCTGAGAGACTAGGCCATCTGCACATTCATTATCACACTCATGATTTCATTATTGTTCTGTGTGGCAACAAGGACTTGTTCTGTCTAGCCTTTGTTATTCTTATCAACTGTGCAGCTGACAGCCCCCTTTTGATAATGGCAGCAACAAAATTAACAACTATACATGTCGTATAGCACATAACTGAATTATCGTCTGTGATAGTGACACACTAAACATGAGCCTGTCTCTTCTCTCTGTGTCCTTGTGCAGGTCTGTTCCACCGAGCCATCATTCAGAGCGGCTCAGCCCTCTCCAGCTGGGCAGTGAACTACCAGCCGGTCAAGTACACACGTCTCCTGTCGGAGAAGGTGGGCTGTAATGTCCTGGACACCTTGGACATGGTGGACTGTCTGAGGAAGAAGACCTCCAGGGAGCTGGTGGAGCAGGACATACAACCAGCAAGATACCACGTGGCCTTTGGACCTGTAATCGATGGGGATGTTATTCCAGACGACCCCGAGATCCTGATGGAGCAGGGCGAGTTTCTTAACTACGACATCATGCTGGGGGTCAACCAGGGCGAGGGGCTGCGCTTTGTGGAGAACGTGGTAGATTCAGAGGACGGCGTGTCTGGAAATGACTTTGACTTCTCTGTGTCAGACTTTGTGGATAGTCTGTATGGGTACCCAGAGGGAAAGGACACGTTGAGGGAGACCATTAAGTTCATGTACACGGATTGGGCAGACAGAGACAATCCAGAGACAAGGCGCAAGACGCTGGTGGCTCTGTTTACCGACCACCAATGGGTGGAGCCATCGGTGGTGACGGCAGACCTCCACGCTCGCTACGGGTCTCCCACTTACTTCTACGCCTTTTACCACCACTGCCAGAGCCTGATGAAGCCAGCCTGGTCAGACGCAGCCCATGGGGACGAGGTGCCATATGTTTTTGGAATTCCTATGATTGGTCCAACTGACCTTTTCCCCTGTAACTTCTCAAAGAACGATGTCATGCTCAGTGCTGTGGTCATGACCTACTGGACCAACTTTGCCAAGACTGGGTGAGTAAAGTTTTTGAATAAGTTATCCCAATTGTTAGAGGTGCATCCATACAGATACTGCTTATTGGTATCGATTCCTATTGGTACTATTTTGGATAATCCTTCTTAATTTTAATGGAATTATAATGTTATACTTGGCGCAACGGTTACCTTTATTTATGTTTTATACGATCATGGTATAGAGGGAATTGCCTATTGGGAGAAAGATAAAATGACATTGTTGGCTGCTTGTCTATCGCACAGGTGGTTGGTAGAGGACAAATGAATTACCATCTACTCCCCAAAAGCATTGATTCAATATCTGCACACAGATTTAAAATAGAAAAACACATTAGGAGCGAGGAGATTTGTTTGATTTTGATCACTCTTGAACACATGTGTCAAACTCAAGGCCCGGGGGCCAAATCCGGTACCCTTGGTGGATTTAATTTGACTCCTGAAAAGCTGCAGATAGAGCCATAAGAAATGAATGCAGCTGATTATTTAATGTTTAATGTTGTTTTTATAGGCAATCATTTAAGCTTTGTTAGTTCCAGGTTGAATATGTGCAATAAGTTCATTTCAATACGTTTTGCAATAAACATTGAACCAGTCCGGCCCTCGACTAGTACCGATTTTTTTATTTTGGCCCACTGTGTATTTGAGTTTGACACCCCTGCTCTAGAAGATACTTAGATCATGTTTTGTTTAAAGACTAATAAAGTAATTACCGTGTAGTTGTCTCCTCCGATATTGAGTGTTACCTTGACTTGAGGTCAGCCTGCTGCTAATGAGAGGGTGGTGGACTGGCTGCATTGATCAGAAAGTCAAACACCGTAAATGTATGGCCTTTAGATACCATTAGGTCGCCAATGTTATGCCTGTTACACACATCAGTTTGTATAGGTGGGGTTAGCTGTGTTTACTTTCTCTTTGCCAGATTTAGCCCAATCTTCAGAGCATGTCAATCTCTCTGCTGTACAGTCCTCAGAATATAAACAACCATGATGTAGTCGCAAAAGTCGCATCATCATAAGCAGATGGCTGTTGGGAAAAATATTATTAAACGGTAGGCTAATCGAAAAAACATTGAATGATTGAATGCCATTTTAAATACTGACAGCAGCACTGAATGCTGCGTGATCATTACAGTATTATAAATCTGAGAAGTATGGAGTATCACTACCTATTTAAGACCAGTATCTCTTATCCCAATTTAGATCAGACAGGTGTTGTTTTAAATCTTGAGTCTAATAATAGTAGAAACTAAAAGCTATTCACACATATTATAGTAGGTATTTTAAATGAATTTTAACATCAGTACTTGCAAATTAGTAAAAACCAGAGATCCCACGATTAGAAATGGGTTATAAATCGAAGGTCACACAGATAAATCACACCTCAGTCCTATTAAAAGGCCTTCTGTGCTCCAGAAAAGAAGCTGCAGGATAGAAGAAGTTTTACACTGGATTGTATGGGACAGAAAAGGCATTTTTCAACACAGACATTTTTTTCAGAGGTGTTATTTGCCTGGACTTCCTGGGTCCTACTCTGAAAACCTGAGACATATTGAATCTGAGGAAGATTAAATGGTCCTCCAGAATGTGTGCAGTGCTATTTGTGCCTGGCTGCGTGTTTGGGTTGAGTTTGTGTGCATGGCTGCCTGCCTTTCTGTATATCCTGTGTGTGTGTGTGTGTGTGTGTGTGTGTGTGTGTGTGTGTGTGTGTGTGTGTGTGTGTGTGTGTGTGTGTGTGTGTGTGTGTGTGTGTGTGTGTGTGTGTGTGTGTGTGTGTGTGTGTGTGTGTGTGTGTGTGTGTGTGTGTGTGTGTGTGTGTGTGTGTGTGTGCCTGCCTGGAAATACTATCTATGCTCTATTACACAGAGGCCCCAAAGACACGGAGACTTATCAGGGAGACATATCAAACACTTGCCCTCAGTGGTATCGATTCCCTCAGCGTGGACCCAGTCGATCACCCATGCCCCGGGTGAACCCGCTCCCCACAATGCTCAATTTCCCCCCCACCCGTCACAAAACCTGGCTATTTTGTATGACTACTTGTAATCATTTCTAACGACTGAAATTTAATTTGACAATCCTTGTTCCCAGAGAGGTATTGATCCCATCCTGAATGAGACTTGGGTCTGAAATCTTTTTGTATCTCTCTCTACATCATCTGCTGTCCAATCAGGTGGCATTTACATCTAGCTGATAGGCCGTGCCGCCGGCTCTGCTAGATCCTTGAACTCCTAATGGCAGAATAGTGCAGATGGACTGATGTCGGCTCCTCCAGGGAAGCACTGAGGTCCATCAGCGATGTTCGGCCTAAACAGCTGTCTCCTCTGCCTGGCAGCCATCTTGTGTCAACACATACAAAGCTGCAATGTGAAGATACAGATGGAATTTCTCATGCGCCCTTTCAAGAATATTATCTGCAGTTAAAGGACGAGAGCGCGTGATTCATTTTAATGAGAAACGTTTGAGGCCGCCATGTTGCAATGCACAGTGCTGAATCACTCTGAGCTTGGATCTTGCTACCTCAGAGAAATTAACTTTAATGGATGATGACAGCCTACCCATCTTACCCAGAACCACTTAACACACCAGCGGGAAGCCTTTCGTAACCCTGATCTGGCCTTCAACCTGGGGAGCAGCAGAAGCCGAAAAACAAATCGCACTTTTACTCCTGACCCCATGTCAGTTTTGTTGATTGCAGTGCCACTGATTTATTGAGTCTACGAGCAAAATAATGGGAAAGTAAACCGACTGTACTGTTTTTCATGTTATGGGTCTATCTGCCCTGTGGTGTGTCGCCTTGGCGTAACTCCAGACTGGGGGATTACATGCAGACCACAATTAGGCACTCAGATGGTAAAGAGCCCGGGATTACAGTAGATGCCAGGATAATACAAAACTCAGTGTGCTGCTCCAAAGGGTAATTTTATCCCTGGCCAAGAAAAAGACTCTACCACCATCAAATCGGGGGGGATGAGGATCTGAGACTTTTCTCAAAGATTCTTAAGATCATCCTCCTCATTTAGACCTCACCAGGGGATATAGATCTCTCGCCCAACACCACCCAACCCAATCTGGCTCCAGAGGACATCCTTTTAATTAAGGCACAGCTGAATTCCATTTTCCGTCCAACAACCATCTTCCCTATATCTGTAAAGCTTCCCTTCCAGATGTTCGTAATGAACTGACCCAGATTGCATTTCCTGCCCCCTCTCTAAATCGACTGTAGCAACATGTGTGACACGATGTTGAGACACTTGGGCTGCATGTCAACAGTGTGTATCATAGCAGCATTCGCCTCAAAGCTCTTCCTTTCCCTGGCTCTCATGTGTCATCTTTACAGGGCAAATCCCTTCCCATGCACTTTTTATTTTATTTACCTCCATCAGTGTCAGTGAAGCATAAAAGCATACAGAGAGTGCATGCTGTCAAATATTCTTAGTGTGTGTGTGCGGGATTGTGAGAGTGTGTGTTTACACTATGGGCCGTTCTTTCCTGAGAGTTAGGGATGTTTCACAAGCCAGGGATTTACTCAGCTCAGAGTTATTTTTCTGGCTGCAACATTTGTTTTACTATTGACAGGCAAAGATTGCCTGCGCTTTACAGCCACAACAACTTCTTCTAAACAGTTTCTCCAAAACTTTTGAAACAACTCCACATACTTCTCCCTCACGAACACAAATGCAAGCACAGCTGCCCGGCTACACAAATAAAATACTGGCAGAACACTTCAGAAATAGACAGAATGATGAAAAGACTTAGAAAAGATCAATCATCACATATCATTAGTGCCATAAATATGTTGTGCCATCTTCCCACAGCTTATTTCTTTCCTATCTGGCTGGTGCTTATTTCCCCTGTTTTGTGTGCCACATGCTGCGCAGGGCCTTACTACAGTAGGTAGTTAAAGAGCAGAGCGCTGTCATGTGTTGAGATGTTTTCTTCATTCTCCTCCATACCCCTCTCCCTCATTTAAAAAAAAAAGAAGAAAGTCTACTCATGTTTTATGTTCACAACATGAGCAAAAAGATGCAGTATTGATTGCTTTGTCTTTAGTGACAACGGTTGTCGACCAAACAAATGTAGATAGCAGTAACTACAGTGTGTCTGTAGTGCCGTTAAGCAGCCAGCTCTTTGATTTACAACCCTGCCAGTGGATTTTTTTCTTTGTTCTTCTCCCACTTGTCAATCGACCAACCCTCCCTGTAGGGTTAACAATGCAAATACATCAACTGTTTTTCCCCGTCTGACCTCATTCACGCACTCCTTCAGCCTTTCTTTTTTTACCCCAGCTGTCTAGTAGTTACATCACTCATCCCTGATCCCCCTCCTCTTGTCCTTCGTCCGGATAATCCCCCGTTCTCTTCAGACTCCTTGGTTAGGACCGAGTCAACCTGTACCAGGAAGCGGTGAATGCCCGGCATTGTGAAACCGCACAACCCCGAACAGCCACCTAGCTACTCCATTAAAAAGGCACTCACTTGATAGGAGATTTGTAGCCAATACCCTGATTTGCATTAGAGAAGGTAAGGAAGTGGTGTGGCTTGTTAAGGGGCCTGGATCCCATTGATCGGTGTCCATGCTGTGTGCTGAATGTAATGAGAGGAGGGCAGCGAGGGAGGAGCAGAAAAGGAAAGTAGATCTGCATGTGTATCCGTAAGTAAGTGGGTGTCCGATTAAATAGGGATAAATACTATTTTGTTACGTTCTAAATATACAATAGAAGTGGTCGAACGCTGCTAATTGGTTAAAAGAGGGAGAGAGGTCATGTTAGGCAGGTGATGCAGGGGAGGGAGGTGTTTTGTTTGCTGCCACTCATTTAATCAGACAAATCAATAGCGTCCATAATAAGGAGTGGTGCGAGAGCTGTGTCCTCCAACACTTCTGCACGCCCCAAAGTCAGAGCGCCTCGCCCTGCATCACTTAGCCTGCTGAACTGGAGGCTGCCATAAAATATGAACCGCGCATCACTCAGCCCCCTGCCCCAGCATGCAACCACATGAAGGGTAAAAGAGCACAGCCTGATAATTTGCCCGCTCAGTTCTGAAGCTACCCCCTACCTCGAGCCGAGCCAAATGCTACAAAAGAGCATTTCATGAGTGTTTTTATGAAAAATGTATACAGGATGAAGGGAAAGGTGTCAGAACCCTTCTTTTGTAAATTAAAATTAGCTGCTTACTTTGTTACCTGGTAAGTAGATAAACAACTTCAGGGGATGAATTTGATACACAACAATAACTAAATGAAAAAAACAAATCAGGCTTCAACTTTGCATATTTGAGCAGCTTAGCAAAAGGAGCATCTGTGCCGCTGAATTAATGCGTGCTCCTTGTTTTATATTGAGAAGCTATACTCCGCTCTGGATTCAGGGACCCTGAGTGGGGGGAAAATAGATTCTTGTCTTCTGCCTTAGGGCACCTAAACGTGTCTTTTCAGATTTGGTGATGGCTAGGTCTATGATCATTCAAGCGCTTCAAATTACATCAGGATGAAAAGGGAAAGGAGGTACATGGGAAACGAAAAAAAGGAAGAAATGATATTCATTCTTCCCCCTTATCTACCTTTTACATCAGTGCGTTCAGATAGGGCTTGGAATAGGTAATGAGCTTAGGTCCCCTTTCTGCCACTTGTGCAGGTAGATCTGGGAGTCGTGTGTAATCCAGGTGCTGCAGCATCCTACAGTAGAGCAGCTTAACACTCACAGATGCCTTTTTTTCTTATATCCGCCTGGAGAGGCTCGTCATCATCACTACACAGCATATATACTGCTCGGTGAAATGTCTTGACATGTCTTGAGTTCAAGTGCTGCGCTTGTGTGGCCCCACAGGTCATCGCACCATGATGCATCACAAATACACACACTCACATACACACAGGTACACCAGTTGGCAGACAGGAAATGAATTACAAACTCCCAGTCAATCACAGATACAAACACACGGGAGTACTTAAACACGCATGGCAGGCCAAGGTTAGCGGGGGTCAGCAGGTCATTATGAGGGGGGAGGTGAGCGGGGGAGCTGAGGAGAACATGAAGGCGATGGTTTATCGTACTGCAGCCATATGAACACATCAGAGGAAATCTGAAAGGCCATTAAAACGCCTGCTTTTATGGGTGTAATAATCCCTCTCCTCTGCCTGGGAGTCCAGCCATAGCTCCAATGACCATCCGGATTAAGTGGGAGGTCTGACAGGAGGCAGGCTATCAGCTAATGCAGGGGAGAGCCCAACAGGACCACAAACATCACATTATGCCAGGACTCATTCCTACAAGTCACAACAAGGCGCCGGCTACAGAGCTGAACACATACGGCGAGCTCGGGAAGTGTCAAGCGTTTTATCGCCAGACTGTTAAATATTTGGAATGATATGATGACCATGAGGTTCGGGTGCCTGATGTCATTTTTGCGTATTCAGATACATTAAATGAACAGGCAAAGCAATCCTTTTGTTTGTACTTGAACCACTAGCACACCTCATTTCAGCCTTTGAGGTTTTTGATAAGGTTCAATAAGTGTTTTAATTTCTTTTATCTTTCTTTTATCTTAATTAAAATTATTTGCTGCCCGGTAACATCTAAAAGTAATCGATCCATCAAGATTGGTAGACTTTTGATATCTTATCGTCTACGGTTCCTTTTCCAGCAGTTTTTTTAATTTAATTTAGCTTTGTCTGTTTTTCTGAGTATTAGGCTGTGGATGGTCTCGGCTGACGTCATAGTCATTAGTTTTAAAAGCACAGAGTCAAAACAGAATGTCTCTGTTTACACGCTTATGCGGCTCAGTGTAGAGACACTGCACAGTTTAGGTAGAACATCAAACCGTCTTTATTTATTATCTACAAACACAATAATTTCTTGGGAAGCTTATAATTTTTTCTGTGTCATATTGTGGCTGTTGCAGAGACATACTGTGTGCTTTGTAGTTGTTTTGTGCTGAATTATATATTCCCTATATGCATGTCCTCAGATGCCTACAATGGGAAGACAGAATAGGAAATGGTATGCTTTGTTACTACGGAAACTACAAATGTAAGCCATAAACATTATTACTGTTTTTTATCTAACCTATTTTTTTTAATGTAATTGAACCCCTTGGACCAGTCCCTTTTTCACAGGGGAGTCTACGCTGTTGGTTAAGAACATTAACAGCATATCATAAACAAGAGATCCTGCTCTGACAAGTAAAATATTTTTCAGACCAGTGTTAAGTCTGTCAATACTGTCTAAAAATGTATAAACTTTTCTAGTTAGAATTGCAAAAACATTCTTTTAAAGTAGTTTGAACTTTTTTTAGCTGAAGTAGCTTCAAAATATCAAACATAATTTCTCCCTGTGAAGGCTTTGCTGTAATTCAACATCTCTTAAGGTGAAGTAATTGGTAGCTTTCAAAGCCATGCTTGCTAAGAAGCTTTCCCTTAACTGCTTGTAAGATGTCTGTAAGATTTCCACTGAAAAAGTATATTATTAGCTTGGCAGTATGCATTACAGAACTATTGGATCAGATGATATTGTACAGGTGCTATAATTTCCCCCACCTGCAGAACCTGTCAGCAATGATTTCAGAACAATTTTAATATGTGCAGATTGAAAGCAGCACAGCACTAACGACCAATTTAAAAGTTTAACGGACTATGGTGCGTCACACAGAGGGACCATTAAGCCTTGTTTCATATAAAACAGGGTAACTTAGTAGCCCTCACCACATCGAGCAGCAGAGATCACTGCCTCCGACTCTGCAGTTCAGGGCAGGACTTCAAAGCCAGTATGCAGCCAAAAGTTGAGCAGCGGTGCTAGAAAATTGTTCAAAGGAATGCAGGCTGTTTACTATTGACTTTGCAACAATTACCCAAGCATATGTGTGTGTAATTAGATAAGGCAGCCAGTTGTTCTCTAATGCGGCAAATCAAATTAACTAAAGATGCCACATTGATTTCTTTGTGTTCCTTAAATTATTCATCTTCACTTGCACTGAACCAGACAGCCAGCCACCAAAGAGCTTTTCTAACTCCTCCACACCACCGCTCATTTGCTCCCTGCGTACACTGATTGTTTTTTGAGATCTATCCAAGTACCTTTTCAATATTTTTTCCGTAACAATTCAGCAAATTGACCCTCCTGAAAAGAGAGCATTGCAGTGTTATGGAAATGACCAGAATTTCCATTAACTGAGATTGCTCCGACCTCTATCATTGTTGTTGTGTATTTATATGTGCGTGAGAAAGAGAGGGGGAGAAAATGCTGCTTACATGCACTTGTGTGTGTGTGTGTGTTTGTGTGACAGCATGCACAACACTGCTGTGAAAATTCATGAAGCACGCCGGCTGCAGACAGCCACGTCTCAGGCTGCTCCATTGACGTCCTGTTCTCTGGCATGTTGCACACAGGCAGATCAATATGACCTTACCTCCACCACCCACTCCTTTGAAACTTAATTACTGATATTCAGCTACAAAGTCATCATAGTCTGGCTGTCAATATTCATTGGGGATCATTACGGGCCTAATAAAAGAGGTTATTTACGGGCTGCTCTGCTGACACCGGCCCAGGTCCAGATATTCAGCTGCAGCCATCTCAATTTGCTTTACCTCTCTCCCTCCCTCTCTTGCTTGCTCTCTCTCCCTCTCTCTCACCTCTCCCAGAAGCACTGACCTGAAAAAGAAAAATTGACAGCAGGGAAACGAACGGGAGAGAGGATGGAGGGTGAATTCTTCTGGCATGGCTTTTAATTCTCTTGGCCGTGTTTGGAGGTTTTTCAGCCTGTGCCAAAAAACCACTATAGGCGCACATATCCCAAAATCCCAAACGAAATGTGAACTTTGCTTGCCAGTGACATGGCAATCATACCCACAAAGGGATACTTCATGACATTTACAGAAAATGTTGCCGAGATCCTTGCGACAACACAGTTTTCAAATTCCTCAACTCCAACATGAATTATTGTGTTTTCAAGGCCGCAGCACCATTCTTCAGGTTCTTTCACTGAAAGTCATTTCCTCAGCACCAAAAGTGAAAGCAATGTGCTGCAGCACTCCCACTCCTGACATTGTATGGTGACAAAGCTACATGGAGTTTAGTGTGATTGTGGGAGATTGCTATATGTTAATTCTTTCAATAAATCAATAGCTGAAAAGTGGAACACTGAACCCTGTAGATGAAAAAAGGTACTGCAACCAGAAAAATCTCTCAGTCTCACATTCTCACACATCCTTTTTGTCTCTCACTACAACCCTCACACACGCACTCACATCCTTGTTTCCAAGCACACACGCACCTCTGCAGTTTCCTCTTAGTGTCTTGATTAATATGGTCCACTCTACGTCAGTACGCTGGATGCCGATGCACACTGTGCTGCCTTCCCTTAGCAATTAGCAGAGGGGCTCCACCAGCGTTGGATTATCAACAACAAGATGCCTCCTGACGCGAGCCCTAAAGCCTGCTGACTTATTCATATGTGTTTACTTTAAAAGCCTCTGCCTTGGTTTTTTGTTGGTGGAATGTATCAGAAATGAATTAAGAACAGCATGTGGGGTTCGAGAATGGGGAGGGGGGGGGGGGGGGGACAGCCACATTATACCCAAATACAGGTGGCCGGAAGAGAACAGGGGCCGCCAGAACTTGTGGTACAATTACAAATGTAATGGTGTATTGGGAAATTAAATTTGATAGAAGAGAAATCAGTATCTGTTGATGCAGCTACAGGAACTTTACCACAACATACACACCTTGATCAATTATTAACTGCAGCCTGTCAGTTGCTGTTGTGGGTTTGTGTTTTCTCTGTTGTGGGTTACGCCGAACAAGATCAATAAATTCTCCAGTGGTGGCTGAACCCCTTTCACGCCAAAATATAGGCTGTGACTGGTACTGTTGTGTTGTCTTTTCAGTATTGTTATGTGCCTCCTACTCCCACATGAATGTACGTGCATGAATAATTAAATGTTCATGTCAGAATTTCATTTAACACTCATCACTTATCATGTATGTCTCTTCTCTTTCCGTAGGGATCCTAACAAGCCGGTTCCTCAAGACACCAAGTTCATCCACACCAAGGCCAACCGCTTTGAAGAGGTGGCCTGGTCCAAGTACAACCCCCAGGACCAGCTGTATCTGCATATCGGCCTGAAGCCACGTGTGCGGGACCACTACCGCGCCACTAAAGTGGCCTTCTGGAAACACCTAGTGCCCCACCTGTACAACCTGCACGACATGTTCCACTACACCTCCACCACCACCAAAGTGCCGCCACCAGATACCACGCAGAACTCCTTGTCCACCAGGAGGCCCAACGGACAACACAACACCAAGCGGCCCCCCATGTCCCCGGCCTACAACAATGAGGACAAAGACTCTTGGAACGACGACGAGGAGACGGGACCGCTGGTGGTGGAGAACCCTCGGGATTACTCCACAGAGCTCAGTGTCACTATCGCTGTGGGAGCATCACTGCTGTTCCTCAATGTGCTGGCTTTCGCGGCCCTCTACTACCGCAAGGACAAGCGCCGGCAGGACTCCGGCCACGGGCAGCCCAGCCCACAACACCAGACCACCTCCAACGACATTGGCCACCATGCGCCCGAGGAGGAGATCATGTCGCTGCAGATGAACCAGACGCACCATGAGTGTGAGGCGGGGAACAGCAACGAGGGGGCATTGCGCTTGGCCTCGCTGCCCGACTACACGCTCACTCTGCGGCGCTCTCCGGACGACATTCCCCTCATGACCCCCAACACCATCACCATGATACCCAATTCCCTGGTGGGGATGCCCAACCTGCACCCCTACAACACCTTCACAACCGGCTTCAACTCCACCGGCCTGCCGCACTCTCACTCAACCACCCGCGTATAGCTTTAAGGAGGCCTGGGGCAGCCGGCGCAGGCGGGGGGGGGGGAGGAGGCAGCGGTGGTGGTGGTGGTTGAGGAGGAGCAGGAGGATGAACGATTGGAGGAGAGGATTGTGTTTTATAAATATCACAGGGAGGGGGGAGGGGAAGGGCATGAGTCGGATTAAAACGTGAAGAGATTTAACTAGACTTTTACTACGAGGAGAGTTGCTGTGAGCTCTCTATGGATGTCAAGTTGTGCAGAGCTGCCAAAATCAAACTGCTTCCCTTCTCCTGATTGGGGGAGGGGGGGTCTTTCTGCAGTGTTTTTTTCTAAAATAATCATTTTAAAAGCCTTTTTAAGCAGACTGAGGAGATATCAACACTGATCTTCTATACATAAATAAAACTAAGAGAAGTGCTTTTTATTTCCCATCCCTTCCTCCTGCGGGAGACACATCTCGAACAATGGCCTCTACGTCAATATTCGCAAAATGTTTTTAATTGCTTCTTTGTTTTATTTTACTTTTCAATGCCTTACAAAGCTTGTTCTTTTTTGTCATTATTTCTATTCCCTGAGACTATTCCAAGTGGAGTGTGTTACAAGCCGATGAGACTCAAAGATGAGACACTGAATACCGGGATGGGAACCTAGAGGATATGCAGATGTAGAGATTTTAAACCCTTTTTGGGCAACTCATATTTTCTTTCTGTTGTGTACCAATGCAACAGCCACACAAACGGTGTTATCTTTTTTATCTCGTATAGAAATGATTTGTCTGGGACAGCTCCTGCCGGGAAATGAGAAGGCAGAGATAAATACTATGTTACTGTGATTGTTTTGTTAAGAAAAAAGTGCATCTTTTACAGCCAATTTATCTGTTAAGCTATCTGATATTATCTCCACAAAGTGTGCACGTACACATGCTGCTTAGAGCACCGGTGTGTTTGTGTGCATGTGAAAATGATTTCTCGTTCCTTGCGTGGTAGAAAGAGGCTGAGATAAAGGAAGTGAGACATTGTCGGAACTTGCAAAAGCAAGAGCGGCGAGGGATTGAGTCTGCGTGTGTGAGAGTGTATTTTGAGAGTGTGTGAGAGTGTGCGTGTGTGTGTGTGTGTGTGTCCGTGCACCTGTTTTTTTGTTTGTAGGTTGTATAATGTGGTTTTTTGGGGGGAGGGGGCTGAGTATTTTCTTATGTTGTTGATTTTGGTTCAGCACCAGTAGTGTTTCTGCTGCGTCTCTGGGTGTCTGTCTTTGCAAAATAGCACTTGTTATTTTCAAAGTTATATATGTCTAATTTTGCTTAAAGATTACAAAATAAATCTATTATTTTACGTGTAAGAGAAAAAAAATAGCTAAAGATTCAACTGAACTAACTGACATGATTCCATTGACTTTGTAAGAGTTCCTCTTAAAAAGCAGACAGTGGCCTGTTTGCACTGAATAAACCTACATCAGTGCACACTTGTATTTCTTTGAATATATATATAAATATGGGCATACATACATATATGTATAGAGCTTTTATGAAGATATCAATCCCACTTACAAAAAAATTAAAACATTGTTCAGATTGCACCAACAAATACATTCTAAGCACTGTTGTTGCTGCCAAGACGTCCCTAGGTGTCTTTGTAAGAGCTCTATATGTATATGTATGTATAAAATATTTAATATTTATGTATACCAGATGCATACATGCTGATTGTGCCATGTGCCAAATTAAACCTGTAAAAAATGAAGAATATAAAAGTTTCACAAAACTTTTTGCTCTCTTGATCAGAATTGTTTTCCTCCCTTTTATGACTTTTTATTATTTCCATTTTGAATAAGTTGGAAACGAAACATTCTTGTAGCAAGTGAAAGTCTCCCCCCAGGACTTCCTCTCTACCTCCCTCCTTCTTTCTCCCCCCTTCCTCCTCCCTCTCTCTTTTTCTTTCGCAGAAACCTTTGAGAAAAACAGGCTAACAGCTTGGGGCCTATCCGCGTGCATAACTCCAGATTTTACTGTAATTCATGCAAAGCAGTGCTGCTGCAGCAATGGGAGATTGTGAAAAGATTGCCTTGATGTGCTCACATTGCATCCTATTATATGTTATTCACAGGAAAACTGGAGTTATTGATTCTGCAAGTAAAACTGACAATTTTCATTAAGTGTCTTGTCGTAGCGCAGATTGTCTCTTGTGCTAGAGTGAGTTGCCGTAAACCTGCCGTGACCTGACCAAAAATCTGTGTTACAATTTTTAGATACTTCATGCACATAGACCTCAACATTATTATGAAGTACTCCATTACAACTTCCCCTTGTATTTAATGATTGGAGACACAGCAGAGCGAGAAGCACAGTCTGGTCAGCTCATCACTGATCCTGCCACGAGCAGAAAGAGAGAAGGGGTTATTTGAGGGAAATTGCTTGGAGACTGATCCATATGAGTCATCCTGTTTTTGCTCATCCTGACTTATATGGGTCTGACCTCCTAATCAGCCACCGTCTTCAACGGAGCAGCAGCCACTTACAGAGAAACAGGCAGTTGGTTTCTACCTGGAGCTATCTCATTCGTACAGAAGCATTTATTAATGTCTCTGTGCGTATGTGAGGAGTAAGCTTTGCAAATAGTCAAACTTGTTTCAGTTGCAGTATTATCAGAGGGACCTTGTTTTACCACAAAGAATGAACAAACATGACGGCATTTTAATGAGAGAAAAACAAACATTTTATAACTGCCCCTGACTGAAAATGGATGCAAACCTTTCTCATTGAATTATGTCCTAAAGATTTGATTCACCTAAACCACTTTAAATGGCTTTTTGTCATTGTTATTGTGGCATCCAACCATGCAGACATTTTGATATCTCAAGGTTTTAAGAAATCTCTTTAAGCAGTCACTTCCATATAATAAAAGCTGATGGAATTTAATTTGCAGTGTTCACACGATTAAATATGATATTTTTTAAAACTCAAAATGTATTTAGTTATTGCAATCTATTTCTTCAGTACAAAGTAGTTTCAATACAAACGTTTAATAGTCGTGGACATTGTTTACGGAAAGATACAATTGGTGTTAAATTCCATAAAGCTGCTATTATTAATATTCATATGTTTCAAATGACAAACTCTTACAAAGCTATCTCCCTACAGAGCATTTTTGCGTCTTTTGGCAAACTGTTTTGGTTAATGGCCCACAACTTAACTTCAACCCTTTGGTTCCTTTCACTGCTCTCGTCTTGTCTTTTTAAGACACAACAGCCGTTTAGCAAAAACAGCCAACTAATCTGCATGCTACCTGCCCAACACCCCAGACAGTTGAGCATGTAGCAGCTCAGAGTCAGATCATTCCCTCATAAGGGTTTGTGGGGAGCAAAACAAGTGAACATTTGACATTTATCACGTAATCATAAACAAGACCCCAAATGAATGTTGCTCCTAAATGTGTGAACCAGTAACAGTTTGCCAAATTAACTTAAATGTTTATGCTATGTTAATGATATAATATATATTTAAATCATTCTAATGCCTGTTTGCACCGCAAAGCCATGAGATGTTTCTGGCAAAAATTGATTGCCTTTTTCTAATATTGTTTGTTTGTTTTTTGCTATTTGTGTGACCCGCCCTTTAACACATGACTTAAAGTAGTCTGATCCGTCTGCAGTGGTGGGAGGTCAGTTTCCATTTGGCTCCAACACACACACACAGGGCTAAAATTGAGTTGAGAAGTTGAGAGCGAGGTATCAAAGGGAAGAAATGTCATGGGAGGGCAAGTTGTTTTTTGCCATGTAATTTTCCCATATGCCGTTAAAGCAGAGCAGATGCCACTGAGTATTGGCAGGGGTGGACCTGGTGGCCTCGGGGACACCGTTTGTGATACATGGTCCTGTGAAGAGCCACATAATTAGGTGCCGGACCAAAGGGGCAGACCGTGGAAAGTGGTGTGGTGCAGTGAGAGAAAACGGGGTCAAAATCCTTCACTTCAGCCATGAGAAACCCAAATGCTGGACTAAATTAGCCAAAACTTCCTTTGACAAGAAGTAGAAAAATTGCACAGTTATGAGCAAACTCTTTTCCACCAGTCGAGATTTGTTTGCAGTTCGGTGAATGTCTTTCGAAAGTGACATCATTCAAGGATCGGCTGGAATACCCCGATGGGGTTTGTGACTGCCTCGACAGCACGGAAGACAAACCCAGCCTAGGAAATGGATGTGCCACCCGGAGAGAGGTGTGTGTGTGTGTGTGTGTGTGTGTGTGTGTGTGTGTGTGTGTGTGTGTGTGTGTGTGTGTGTGTGTGAACGTGTTGTTACCTATATTTCTTCTCACCCTCATCCCTCTCTTCCTGTTTCATTCATCTTTGTTTTTCTCTTTCTCTTTCATGCAGTTTTTTTTTCTCTTCTTCACACAAATGCATTCAGAGCAGCTCTACCTCTGTCTCACACGGCCGTCATTTGCTCATGTTCTCTTTCTTCTCCTTCTTAAGTGCCATAATCTGGTCCGTTCGCTCATTTCCAATCATTTAAGGTCTAATTGTGTTGAGTTACTATGTTTCTCTGCTGACTCGGACGCTAATTAGCATTACTTATTGGGAGGCAGAGTCAAACTGAACCAGAACTCTTGCAGCTAAATAGCTTGTTTTTCTCTAAAGGGAAATCATTTTCCATCAAAACACAGATAATCTGTTATTTCCATGTGAAAAACAAATGTCTTGTGTTGCCACAGAGTATAGACAAATCACTGGCATACTTTCAGGTTTTCCCAACAAGGACCATATTGCAGCGGAGCCTTTTTGCGGTGGCATCAAAGCCAGATGCTGTAACACATTTTTCACTAGAAACTAGGACTGATACAAAAAAAAGAAATGGTGTTTGAGCCCAAATACATCATGAGAAATCTCTGTTATCTCAGTGTCATTGTACAGATTACTAAACATGCCCTGTTACTTCTATGTTTATGTCCATAGAATGTATTTATAATCTCGCAAACTGGAGTAATCCAAATAAGATATCTATTCTTTCTGTATCTTATTGTGGTTCTCATGAATATAAAACATGACATCCATTTTCAGTTGGCGTGAGACCAAGAAGTTTAGTGCTGATAATATTGTTTTTGTATATTTTTCATCCTACAAAATGACTATACAGAGAGCTTCTCTGTATGTGCTGTATTTGAGTGCCCTATTGTTCCCAAATACAAAAAAAATACACAGCTTTAAAGGATAAGGACAGCATATTTCATCGCTTATTTTACAATCAAAAAATCCCACCAACAGACCTAAACCAACAATGAATTTATCCTGCTAACAAGTACCGAATTCACAGCCAGATATAGCGTATGCCTCTGTGCCGTTGAACTCATTGCCGTCCAAAAACAATTAAAAAGACAGAGAAAAGAGCCAGACTGGTGCATTGGGTGACATATTCCTTAATTACAACGAACACAGACAGTGTAGCCCTTTCCTCACAGCTCGTCAAACTAGCAGAGCGAGGAGCCCCCGGCACGCTCAGCGACGTCTGCCCAACACAGAGCTACTGTCCAGAGAAAAATGTTGCTGCAGAATTGTGTAAAAAAAAAGCAATAGTATCACCAAACAGTGTGGCTTTTTATGTATTTGTAATGGTTTTTAGGGGCAATGGAGTTCTGTGGCACAGTGGCATAAAATACAAACTGTGGCTGCACAGACAACACTTGTTAGCGGGATAAATTCATTGCTGTTTTTGGCTATTTTAATATGGATTTGTTGGTAAAACTTTTAAATGCAGCAGGGGTGCAACAAACTGTGGCAGCATTGCAAGAATGGAACATGTATAATGTATTAGTCCACACTAAAACCATTTTTTTTTTTTAAGGGTCTGGTTTGTTGTTTATGGAGGTCCAGTAAAGAAGAGTAGCAGCCTATAGTTCATGTAGTACAAGCAGTCCCACCTGCCCCCGGCCTAAAGCTTCCTGTCGACTGCATAATGATCTGCCCTCTGTAAGATGGATGGCCTGGAGATACCACTGGGGCTGCTGAGACTAAAGCCTGCACGTTCCCAGTGTGTGTGAGGGAAGTATCAGCAGCAGGCAACAAGCACATTTTAGGCTACAAAGTGTATCTCTTTAGTTTCCTGTCTGGAAACCTGTGTAACCTGTGTAACCGGCTTCTACGTCCAGTTCTGATGGTGGGTTTCAAGAGGACGTTTCATGGCAAGATTCATAGCTTCGAGGATGTTTGATTCCCTCTCTAACCGCTCCCATTTTTCATTGCATTATCTTGCAGATTTAGAACTATTTTGAAAGGGCTTTCCTCATCAGCTGAGGCCAGGCCCACTCCGCTATCTCCCAGTTGCATCAGCTGGAGTTCACCATCAGATGGCAGTCCACTAATGCCTTTCTCAGATGTGGGTTACTGGTGGCAGGCTGGGGTTGCGTCAGTGGACCTTTGGTGTATGAACTCGCTGTCCTGTGCTGCTCTAGCACAGACTACAGAGGACTCCCGGTAGACTTCCTCAAAGTAACTTATCACTTAGATCATATTACAATGACTTTCAGTGGCACCAATTTGATTTTAAGTGCTAATCCAGGCTACCGGGCTTTTCACAGATCTTTCAGATCAAATACACTGTGAGTTTGACTTCAGCATCTGAGTTTATATTCTAAAAACATCAGCACCATTTCTTTCCAGTGAAAACTACTGGAATCATCCTTTGAAGTTAAGCCTATTTTTGCCCCGAGAGGCTGAGACATTCCTTCGTCAGTGATGCCTAAATGTTAGTCCTGTGAAGTGAATTCTTCCTATA